AGTCTGAGCACGATTGTAAATGGTAACTCTCAGGACAGCATCTGGCAGCAGACCAGGCAAATAACAGCTAGGAATAAAAGACAACTGTAAAGAAGATCTCCAAATGTTTGATGATATGGAAAACAGTATTTATAGGCTACTGATAGAAAGGTTAAGAAGATTTGGAAAGTAGCCTTCATGTACATGAATCCAGGAAAATGGAGAAACAAATCAATTTACTTTCAGAAAAGCAAAACTGTATTAGGAGAATCCAAGGTCTATATATTATTTGTCTCAGATTAACAATATCTGTGTGATACTAAACACATGGACAATAGTAAGCTAAATAAAACCATGATATAAAGTCTACAATGGGGATAGGAAATAACAACCATGGTAGGAAAAATCTCACTCCAGTTACATGTAGCCAGAGGTTGCTAGAGAATGTTTATCAGAAAAAGTGTAGTGATACTTTGTTTATGATCTAATAAAGATTGCCTGAAGATCAGAGTGCAGAACTAAGCCACTAGACACACACCTAGTAAAGATCTATGCCACACACACACACACACACACACACACACACACACACACACACCTAAACCACTGGGTAGCCACAGAGGACAGGCAGTGGTGACCTCATCTTTAATCCAAGCACTTGGGAAACAGATGGATTTCTGCGAGTTCAAGGCCACCCTGGGCTACATGAGAGTGAATCAGTGTAAAAGGGAAACAGCTCTGTTTGCAGCACTTGGGATGACACGCCATTACCCAGCACTAGAGAGAATATAAGGGGAGGAGTCAGGGGCAGTGGAGGAGAGAGGATCGCCCATTTTGGTATGAAGAGAGGTAGTCGCTGGCCACTCTGCTTCTTTGATCTCCACTTTAACCGCCGTATCTGTCTCTGGGTTTTTATTAGTCATGCTATAAGAAAGTAACAACAGGACCATTAACTGGACATATAGGGAAAATGGCAAGAAAAAAGGGGCTAACACAAGAATGGGCCTGGGTAATGGGCCTGCCATTTTCATATATTTTTAACGTGTCTTAAATTCATGTAGGGCAGAGTGTAATTTGTGGGAGTTGATCCTTCCATCATGTGGGTTCTAAGGGATGGATTTAAGGTTGTCAACTTTGCTGGGAAATGCCTGTACCCACTAAGCTGTTTGCCCAGCCACACCATGTCTTAAATTTCTGAAATGTAAAATTAAGTAAATATTAATTTAAAATATTCCTGTTTTTAATTATGTTTTTATAATTGTTGTAAGAATTATTTAATTTTTTGAGTTTTATAATTTTATGGCTGTAAGAGCAAGGTAAACTGGAGATGGAGTTAACTCCATCCTCAGAAAAAGCCACCTTGAGAAATTCCCTGTATGGCACAAGGCTGATTCAACTCCAACCAAGGAACCAAGGAACCATAAACAGTTCCAACGAGCACCCAAACTGTGCCCACCCTGGACAAAGTGACCCCATCCGGGTGGTCAGGCAATGACTAATTTTGGTAAATAACATCTTGTCACAAATGTCCTTGTGGGCAACCATTAGTAACAGTTTTGAAATTCCCCTTAGCCACCATGTCAATGAATCCAAAGGTCACCCACTCTTACCCAATCCTGAACAGCCAAGGCACGTACCACCCTGCTTGCTGTCTTTTCCTTTAAAATTCCTTGCAATTGAGGCCAGGCGCCCTTTTCCTGTGCCAGTTTGCTGGACAGGGTCCCTGCCGAGGCTTGTAAAATTAAACCTTATGCATTTGCATCAGAGTTGGCTCCTTGGTGGTCTCTTTTGAGGTCTCACGAACTTGGCATAACAGTGGCAGCAGAAATTTATACAATACAGATACTAATGAATAAACCTTTCATTTTAGGCACGTTGCTGGGCAAAATCCTTAGCAATCTTTTCTAATACACGTTCTCCATACTTTGACTACCATCTCTTTCATTCTGTTGTTCCATTGTTGTAGCTTTCACAATCAAACTGCAATCTCAAGTGGTCATAAATTGCTTAGCAACAAGAATATATTCAGAGAAACGTATTTCTACAACATCATGGAGTGTATTTCCATAAACTTAGATAGTTTACCTATTGTGCACTTAGGCTATATGGTACAGCTTATTGTTCTGAAGGGACCAGCCCTCTGATTTAGCAGCCATGACAGGCTAACATGTGTTTGCCTGACCTTGCCCCTCCTGTCCTGGTCACTAGAGGTCAGAAAACCTCTTCGTGGCAAGGAACCAACCAGAAGTTAGCTGATGGGGCTGTGCTTTATGTATAAGTGAACAAAGTGACATGCAGAGCATAGCAACCGCCCTGAGAGGGCCTATGGGCCATAGCAACCAGTTGACCAATCAACACAGGACAGGTCGTCCAAGCCCAGAATCGCACCAATCCTGAGACTGTTGCATACCCCTAGACACTCCCGTTGCTCTACCCAATATGTTCCCTAAGTCCTGGTTTCTTGGGGTTTTTCTCCATTCATCTGCCATGATGAATGGATGAAAGGCTTGAGCTAACAACTACAATAAAAGACTCTTTACTTTTGCATAGAAATGGGTCTGTTGGTGACTTTGGGGTTTCAGAATTTGGGCACAACAGTTCCTAGGCTATAAACGTATACTGTATATTACTGAAAAGTTTCTGTGCCCCTGATAAGACTCTCCGCCGATGCAGCAATCTAAATCAGACCAAATCCAATCTAATTAGAAAAAGCCTACGTTTAATGGCTACAATGCTGCTGGATGGCTTTCCAGCCCCACCCCCCCACCTCCAGAGGAGACGGGAAAGAGAGATGGGAAAAACCACATATCTGGTTTCTGGGAGGCAGTTTGAATACCCTGTAGGAGTGGTCTTGAGCATCCCTGGAGGAGGGGTCATCATTTGGTGGGCTTTCTAAGATGCAGCAGGGTTTGGAGACAGAAGAAGGGGCTGGGGTGAAGCTTCCACCATAATAATTAGTATACTGCAAACAGGCAATTTCAACACAATAGTCTCTGTTGGTAAGAATAGAAAATGTACAAGATTTTTCAGCTCTTCTTTAATTTTATGGGATCACCTTTGTACATGGGGTTTGTAACTGACCATGACATGGTTATGTGGTACACCACTGTATAGTCCTTCTATGTGAGTTGTCCCAGTCAATTAATGAATCTAAGGGCAGTAACCCCTCAATCTGTGACTGTCTGACCAATGTAGGAGACCCCACAATTATGTTTGCTGTCTGACACAAGACTTGTGGCTGCTGTCTCAAGTTAGAGCAGTCTTGTGGGAAAGAGGTCCTTAACCAGTAGGTCCGTATTAACTCAAGACAGAACTGAATTGTAGGACATCTAGATGGTGTCTAAGGATTAGCGATTGTTTTAGAAGAGGACACACATTCTCATCTCACAGGAGAATTGAAGTTACTTCTCCTTCAGCTTAGGTGAAGCAAGGGGATACACCTATACCACAGGGTATGGAATACAAAGGTTAAGATGCTCTCAAAGAATTTCCTTAGATTCTCTAGAGTTTAGAGGGCACAAGCCTGGCGCAAAGAGATCTTGAAACTAGATTATATTAAATTAGAGGTTGTAACTAGTAAAATGAAATTGGTATGAATGGAAAGCAATAAACCATAAAACCAAAGAAAATAAAAGACAGTTCTTAAGACAGCAAGAGGAGTCAAAGGCAGATTATCAAGACTGGAACAAGCACATACAAATACATCAACGGAAACCTTTTGTTTATTCAGTTTGTTCATTTTTTCAGGATTGGAGCTCAAACTCAGAGTCTTGGGTAGGCTAGGCAAGTGCTTTATCACTGAGCTATATCCACCAGTGGATATCAATGAAATAGAACGAATTTTACTCATGCATATTGAGATACTGGATGTATTTGCAAGTTAATAAGAGCCCAAGGGCTTTCCAATATCTGATTTGAGAAAAGGAGAAGTAATAAGGTGTGGGGGGAACCCTGACCCTTACTTTATAGCATATATAAAAGTCAGGTATAAGTAGATCATCTCAATGGGAAGTTGGAACTCAACTCTGGAAATCAATGGAAACAAAAATATTTTGCCAGTATGTCCGTACACCCTGTACATGCCTGGTGCCTGCTGGAGTCAGAAGAAGGTGGTAGATCTCCACATAGTGAAGATAGTTACACATAGTTGTGAGCCACTAGGTGGGTATTGGGAACCAAACCCAGGTCCTCGGCAAGAGCATCGAATGTTCTTAACCTCTGAGCAATTGTGTCAGCCCCCTGACAGAGCAACGAATGTTGTTAACCTCTGAGCAATTGTGTCAGCCCCCTGACAGAGCAATGAATGTTGTTAACCTCTGAGCAATTGTGACAGCCCCCTGACAGAGCAACGAATGTTCTTAACCTCTGAGCAATTGTGTCAGCCCCCTAACAGAGCAACGAATGTTGTTAACCTCTGAGCAATTGTGACAGCCCCCTGACAGATCTTTAACATTTAAAGCTTGACACAAATGATCTGAAGAAAGGCATAAACTCTGGCTCTTTTAAGCAAAGAAATATGTGTGCTTTAAAAATGGAACGGGCACAATAATGAAGCTTATTAAAATATTAATATTAGTTACTTGGCCAGTTTTAATTTTTCTTGGTAATTTCTGGGTTTTGACATTTCTAAAACAATATTTAAATTAATAACTCTCACACTTAAAAAGGCGAATGTTCAGCGAGCAGAAGTAGAGGCAGTTTTCGAACAAGTGAACATTAGGTGTATGTTGAACATTAGGAATAACAATCGGCAGTTATTCTTTCCTCCAATAGAGACAATATAGGGAATATATATTCAAATGACAAACGGTCACTAAGCAAGTATTTACAGAAGGCGGTCAAAAAGGAAAGCCCACCATACCTTGGCTATTATTTGTAGTTCATCGTGCACTCTTTGCCTCCTCTGGGCAACTCACCTGGCAAAGGGTAAAACTGGGAGTAGAAAAACAAGTAATTGTGACACACCTGGTTTTTCTTGGTCAGGCCAGAGGTCACTACCAGTCTCATCCCCATTACCCATCGCGCATTGGGAATGGCGATCAGGGAAGAATGAGCACCCTGCCCAGATCTCTCACCTCAGAGAGAGTTCGTGGACAGAGTTCTGCAGTCACCACCTGACAAGTGACAGGAGTCCCATGGAAACTCGCAAGATGCCACATACATTCAGGCACAGTCGCTTAAGCCACAACTCCACTGTGACCAGACGGTTCACGCTCTCACGGGAAAGCCTATTAGAACGTATTGCAGACGACCCACAAAAACGCCCTCAGGGCGCCTGCTCGCACAGTGCCAAGGCTCCAGCTCGCACAAGCCTGCCCTGTTCTCCACGCTCTTCTTTCTAGGCTGTCTTTGCCCGGCTCGTCTAACGGTCCCGCCAGATCCTGCGAAAGGCACGATCGGCCGCTAGGCTTTCTGGGAAATGTAGTTCACAAAGGTACAGCCGCCCATTGCCGACCCCACCCCACCCCCCCGCGCCGCCTCTGGCCGCTCCCGCAGCTGCTCCCGTCCCGCGCAGCCTCGCAGCCAGCGCCACCGCATGGGGGCGCTAAGGAGCTCAGCCACCCGGGACGCCCTCGGCCGGCTCTCGGTCGGTCGCTCAGGAGCGCTGGCCGGAAGTTGGGCGGGCCGCGAGGCCTGCCGGGAGCACCTGGGCTCTGGGACCTAACGGGCGCGCGCCGCCGCCGCCGCTCGAGTCCATGGACCCGCCCGCCTGTGGGTCTCCTGCACGCAGCGTCTCCGAGGTTGCGTTTCGGGGGTGTCTGGCTGGCGGCGCTGCGGGGAGCCCTCGGCGGGCAGCGAGGAAGCGGCCCGAGTGATCCGGTTCGCGCCGGCCGTGGGCTGCCGACTGGGCGCGGGCTCTCGGGGGGCGCGGGGTGCTCCGGCCGGGCGACCTTCCCCGTGAGTGTCTGGAGTTGCAACCGAAAGCCTGGTGAGGGCGAGTGTGCGTGTGTGCGTGTGAGTGTGCGTGCGTGCGTGCGTGTGAGCGTGACTCCGATGATTTGGGGGTGGGGTGGTGGTGTGAGGGTGTGGTGAGTGAGGGTGTGGTGAGTGCGGGGGTCCTGTAGCGGGGGCGGCTGTACCGCGTCCTGGGTCTCGGCTCTCGGGTTTGTAGCGTTTGGCGTAACTAAGAAAGGAATTATGTATATATACATACATGTATATATACTTTTTTCTTTTTTAAGAATTTCTGTTTCTTCATTGGCCCTTCCGCCTTGGTCTTACCAGCACTTTGTTCTCTAACTTTTCAGTTTTTCTTTTCATGACTTTTCTAAGTTATTACTGTCTAACGGCTTGCTTGGCTTTTTTATTTATTTATTTTTGCGGTGTTGGTGTTAAACTTAGCGCTGATTCAGTCGTGCCAAGCAAAAGCTCTGAGCCACATTCCTAGCCCTGAAATTAGTTTAATAATGGCTTAGAAAAAAAAAAAAAAAGAGCATCCTTAAGCGCTCCAACAAACGTCAGTAGGGATTCATTCTCCAGTTCAGGTCCTTAGCAAGCATTTACTGACCCGGCTGCCTTTGGTTGGATTCAGGACAGTGGGGTGAATCCAGATCCACCCTTCGTCTGTCTTTTCTGGGGCTCCGGTTCAAAAGAACTGATTCTGAAGACGTTTTCTTTTCCCCGTGGATTACGGGATCATGCGAGGGCTCTAAAAACTCCGCTTCCAAATGTGTTCCTATTACGTTAGCCAAAAAAAAGTTGAGTGGGTAATCCACTTAGCAGTTTGAAGAGGGGACAGACAGTGTTACCGAAATAACTGTTTGCCACATCGAGACACACCCGTCTTAATTCTGGGGGTTACCTTTTAGTGCAAGTGTTCTTGTTTGATAATATTGCCTTCTCTTTTTTGAATCCCATTTGTCGGGGGAATTTTGTATTCCAAACCCTTTGTCTTTGTGTTTCAGGTTTCTCATGAGAATAGTATCAGCTGAGCCCGTTAACTCATCTGTCCAGCTTGACTGTTACTAGGTGAGTTTAATTCTGTTTCATTTGTCATAATTACTGGAAAAAATGTTTTTATTGCTTACATTTACCTTACCCCTTCCTTAGTTTCCTCACTGGCTTGGCTTGTGTTCTTGTGTGTGTATACTTAACAAAACCGAAGCTTAAACTTGAACACCAAGCTAGGTGGCCGTCTTTTTCTGTTATTCTTGGGTAGGGCATCACATCACTTTCTATTCTAAAATTCTCAAGCCGAGTGTGGTGGTACATGCCTGTGATCCCAGCGTGCATGTTCAAGGCTGCCTGAGGCTGATCCATGATACAGTGCAAGAGACCTGTCTCAAAACTGGGGGAGGGCATGTCCCAGATCAGCCGATGTATGTTTTTAAAACTGTGGTAAATACACAATGCAAAATTCATTATATTAATATTTACTCACATAATTCATTGACACAGAGGATTTACCTGTTATGTTTTCATCATCACTCCCCACCTACAGCACTGTTTTCATATTAGAAAATAAAAATTTGATATTCTTTAAGCAATAATTCCATTTCCTCATCCTTACCAGTTCTAGCGACTACTATTTTTTTCTGTGTCTAAATTTGAGAATGCCAAGTATTTCATGTCAAAAGACCTGTGCCATAGTTGTCTTTTTGTAACTGATTTAACATAAAGTCCTCAACATTCTTCTGGATTAGTAATGTTAGAATTTTCTTCTAAGCCTAAGTAATATTTTGAATATGAATACCTATTTTTAACCTCTTCATGAGTTAATCTACTACATGGCTGTTGCAGATGGCACTGCTGTAAACGTAAGGGTACAAAGGCTCTGAGTCCTTGCTTTCGGTCACTTGGAGTGTTATACATTGAAGGAGGGGTTACTTTTTTTTTTATTGGTTACTCTCTTTTTAGTTTTTTGACTGCCATATTTGTAATGGCTGCATATTTTACTTTTTGATCACCTATCATTGACAAATTTAGAAGTAAATTTCTGTTTTCATGAAGTTTACATTGAGAAAACAGTGGGTAGATACTATAATATAAATTATACCACTTTTTAGAATTTGAGAATTGCGGAATAAAAAGTAAACATGTAAACTTGATGATGGCACACATCTTTAATTCTGATACTCAGGAGGCAGAGACAGTATGAACACAAGTTCAAGGCCAGCTTGAACTACTTAGTAACTTACAGGACAGCCTGGGTTACAGAGAAAGACCTTGATTTAAAAAACACAAAAGTAACCATGTGAAGGATATTACGAATATCTCACACATAACACCAAGATTTATTAAAACAATCTTTTCTGCTTTATTAGTTTTATCATACCCAACAAAGATGCATTCACTTTTTCCTCTATTTTTTTCTCTTAGTAAAGGTTCATATCTTGTAAACTATATATTTTAATAACTATTTCATTAGTTTATATCTAGTACCATGTGACAAGGTTATAATTTTTATTTCAAATAAAAAGCCTTGAAATTCTAAATTATAATATTCTTTTACCTAAATGACCAAGACAGTTCAGATAGAGAATGATAATGGCTGGATTTTTAATGCAACTCCCTTTACTCCAACATGGGATTTTTTTTTGTTTGTTTTTTTTTGTTTTTTGTTTTTCGAGACAGGGTTTCTCTGTGGCTTTGGAGGCTGTCCTGGAACTCGCTTGGTAGTCCAGGCTGCTCTCGAACTCACAGAGATCCGCCTGCCTCTGCCTCCCGAGTGCTGGGATTAAAGGCGTGTGCCACCACCGCCCGGCCCAACATGGGATTTTTATGACTGAGTATTTTTCAAAAGACTGTATTATCGTATGCTTGTCACACACATGTCACAGCATGCATGTGGAGGTCAGAGGACAACTTGAAGAGTCAGTTCTCCCTTTTTTAATGGGTTCCAGTGATAGAATTCAGGTCATCAGGCTCAAGCAGTAAGTCTTGTTACCCAGTAATACATCCTGCCAGCCCTAAGTTGTCTGCTTCAGCATTGTCTCTGTCTCTGCATGAGGCTACACTTTTGTTCTCAAAGGTGTTTGAGCATCCCTTCATTTCTAGACTCTTGGTGTCTCTGTTGAGTAGTTCATTTAGCCTGAGGCACTGAGTCTGGGTTTTATCTAGTATCTCTAGCCAGTGACTCTGCGGAGTTTGGGTGGCAAACAAGGAAATAAGTGTTTTGGTCAGTATTAGTTGTCGCTTGGTTTGTATCATGTTGTCTGAAAACGTAATGTTTTAAACATCAGTAATCTACTGGAAAATATTCACCACTGGGAGCTGTCTCTGAGCCTGTGAAAATGCGTGAGGCAAACTTGATCTCCTGTCTAGGTTTACAGGTCCTACCTCCCCCACACTGAGACACATCTGTGGTGTGAGTCTGAAGCCTGGGGACAGGTGTCTGCCATGGGAGGAGACCTTCTGACCTGAGCCCCGCACCAGAAGCTTGAGAACCCTGGGTGGGAGTGGACTCTGACCCGCACACCATCTTGACCAGTCCTTCCCGAGCCGGCAAGACCCAAATGACATCTCAGCCTTGAAATAGCAGCAGCAGTGTGTGACATGGAGCAGGTGACCCGGGGAAGAGGTGAGATGGCAGAAAAGAACAGTGGGTTCCTTGGAGAGCTGTATTTTCAGGGCAAGTGTGGAAGCTTGGAAAACACGATGCTCTTATCGTAGAAGTTCACGTGGTATTACTCATTATTCAAGATAGACATATTTTATTTTGCTAATTCGACTGATTTTTTATTTTCGTATTTAATTTTGTGTGTCTGTATCTATGCATGTGCCACAGGGCATATATGAAGGCCAGAGGACAACTCACAGGTATTGGTTCTCCCTAGGGATGGAACTCAGGCCGTCAGGCTTGAGGCAGGTACATTCGCCTGCTGAGCCATCTTATCGGCTCACCCTTTCTTAGAGAGCATATTTTAGTATACTTTAAAAGTGGTGTTAAAAGCCTTTAATTCCAGCACTCGGGAGTCAGAGGCAGGTGGGTCTCTGTGAGTTCCAGACCAGCCTGGTCTACAGAGCCAGTTCCAGGACAGCCTCCAATGCTACTCAGAGAAACCCTTCTTGAAAAACCAAAAAATAAAAAAATAAATGGTGTTATAAACTAGAAATAGGCATTTCCTGTTTTATCCCTTCTTATCCCTATTCTTAGCAACAACTACTTGAACATTTTTATCTGGGTATTCATTGCCATTTTTCTGAATAACATCTACATATTGCTAATTTTTGATTTATCAAACTTTTACATTTTTATATAATTTACATCAGGACTTTTCTCTTAAAGAAATACTGTATGCTATGTAGCCAGTAGGATTATTGAACAATGTATCTAACCTCCCAAAAATTTCATCAGATTGCTTGTGTAAGTTTAGTTCCCCACATACATTTTGGAGTCTCTGGAGATTGATGTGGTACTTAACATTTCTCATGGTGCTGAGGATCAAGTTTCTAAAGAATGTTAGAACATCTGTTCATGAAGCTTTCCACATCCCTGTGTCTGAACCTCTGAGCAAATCTGTTTGGCCTCTCTTTCCTCAGCTTGGTGTTCCAAGGACTCTGCACTTTGCCAGGAGGAAGAGGACGTGACCAGACTTTATGTACGTTCTAAACATAATTTTTCCCAGCATTGTTTTGCAGTGCAACTGTTTGGGGCTACTATAATCTAGGACTAAGCTGGGAAAAAGTGAAATGAATGAAAATAAGTGAAGAAAAATACAGATTAAAAAAATAAAAGCCAGGGGAAAGGCAGTATGGGTGAATAAATAAGTACTGCAGAGAAGTTAAATATTACCTAGAGAGACAAAGCAAACATGCAACCCATTCCATAACTTGTAGCTTCTGTGGAAGAAAACTATTTAAGGAAAGCAAAAGCTTTTTTGTTGACACTGAAAGCAAAAAAAAAAAAAAGTAAAATTCTAAAACAGCTCTATGATTTTTGTTATTTTAACCTCAAATTTTACAAGTTAGTCTTGTCCAAAGAAAATTTATATAGAATGATATGTGGAACATGCATGTTTCTTTGGAACAATCCTACTCATGTTTTTTGTTTGTTTTTCAGTTTAAGCTTTTGATAGCAAGTTAACTAAATTATATAGATATTCTATGGCATCCTTGCAGTCCTGTTGTTTGTAGCCTTCCAGCATTTTTTTAGTGGTCTTAGAAGATGCAGTGTTTGTTGGTTTTGAGATAGCGTCTCACTGTGTAGCCTTGTCTGGAGCTTGTCAGGAGACTGGCCTTCGCAGTACTCCTCCACCCGCCTCTGCTGCTAGGGTCAAACGCATGTGCCACCATACCTGTCAGAATCCTTTTTTGAAAACAACTTTTATTATACTTTACTTACTTTGGGGAGGGCAGCAATATGTATGCCATTGTGTAAGCGTGGATGGAGGTCAGAGGACAACTTGTTGGAGTCATCTCCTTTCACCGTATGGGTCTTGGGGATTGAACTTAGATCTTCAGGCATGGTGGCAAGTGCCTCTACCCACTGAGCCATCTCACTGGCGCGGTGCAGGTTCTTGTCTTACAGTATTATCTGTTTACTTCCACCTAGACACTTTCTGTTGTTGTTTGAAGTTGCTCATACTGTATTTTGAACGTTTTTCTTGCCTGCCATTTTCTTCAGCTCTCATCATCATGAAGCAGACACACACTCTTTTTGCTGTATGAGCTAGATGAGGGTTTTCAACCTTCCTAGTGCTACAACCCTTTAATATAGTTCCTCATGTTGTGATGACCCCCCCCACCATAAATTTATTTGTTGCTACTTCATAACTGCTACTATTCTGAATTATAATATAAAATCTGTGTTTTCTGATAGTCTTAGGTGACCCCTGTGAAAGGGCTGTTCAACACCCCAAAAGGGTCACAGCTCACAGGTTGAGAACCACTGATTTAAATGCTCAGGAGACATTTTTCTCCTGTCGGTATAGTGTTTCTGTAGCCCTAAACAGACTCAAGTTCAGATTTTGACCTGTGATTGAAAAGTCCACGACAATGGAAGAGACGTCTCTTCTTTGTGCCTCAGTTCCATAATCTAAAATAGGGATAGTAATGGAACCATCAGAAGCCTGCGACATAGATGGTATTTTAACTTATATAGATAAAGGCAGTGAAGACTGGGTTAAGAAGCTTGTACAATCAGGAACAAGTGTATGATACACTCAGGGTTCAAACCTTCAGTTTGATTCTGGTGCCCATACCCTGGTGTGGCCTGAATAAAGAAGTGCCCAGTCTGCGGTTGGCCTCTCCCTCTCATTTGTTCTTTTTATTTGTGTCTTAATGAGTCTGGGTCTTATAAAACCTTCATGCTCCTCCTCCCATTTCACCTTTGAGGCAGGGTCTCTCACTAACACGGGAGCTCTCCAGTTCAACAACTAGTCTGTCTGGCCAGCAAGCTCCAGGGATTCCTTCATCCCAACTCTTAGATTACTCGTGTAGGCTATACCTGGCTTTATACATGGGTTCTGGGGATCCAAACTAGGTTTATCATGCTTGCTATCTGAACCATCTTCATAGTCCCTAGTACTTCAAATTTTTTTTAAGTTCTATATAAATGTGTCTAGGAGACAGACAGCTCAGTGGATAAAGCAGTTGCCGTGCAAACCTAAGGACTAATGTTCAGATTCTGAAGCTAGGCAGGCATGGTGACCACTCATATGGGAACAGAGGCAAGGCATCCCAGGAGCAAGTTGGCTAGCTAGAGTATCTGAAATCAGTGAGCTCTGCATTCAGCTAGAGACCCTGCCTAAATAAAGTGGAGAGCGATTGAGACACCAGATGTCACCTTCGGCCTCCATACGCATGCACATAATATGTATGCCCATACATATATGAACACATATACATATACCACACACACATATGTACCCTCATCCCCAATAAAAGTTCCTAATACTCCATCGTGTGTATATTCCACGTGGTATCTAGTAGACATTTGAATCATTTCCATCTTTGTTTTAGAGATAAGGTCTCACTATGTAGCCCAGATTGGACTCCTCCTGCCAGCCTCATAAGTGCTGGGATTGTAGACAGGTGCCACCAGACTTGACTCCATTCACACTTTGACTGTTATGCGTAATCCTGCTAAGAATTTTGGAGTACAAGTTTTTACATGAACATATTTTTAGTTTTCTCATATTTGTGTCTAGGAATTGAATTCCTGAGTCACATATTTATTTTTAACTTTTTAGGAATCATTCCTCTATTATTCAAAATACTTGGGGCGTTCTACATTCCCCCTGCAGTTCATGAAGAGTGTGGTTCTCTTTGTCCTCATGGGCACCTGTCATTTGTTCTACATTCCCTGGAGTTCATGAAGGGTGTGGTTCTCTTTGTCCTCATCGGAACCTGTCATTTGTTCTACATTCCCTGCAGTTCATGGAGGGTGTGGTTCTCTTTGTCCTCATGGGCACCTGTCCTTTGTTCTACATTCCTTGCAGTTCATGGAGGGTGTGGTTCTCTTTGTCCTCATGGGCACCTGTCCTTTGTTCTTTTGAGTATAGCTGTCCTGCTGCAATGAAGTATGTCCCGTTGTGATTTTGATTTCCATATACTCAATGGCAATAGTCAACACATACATGGCTTTTTGGCCATTTGTGTATCTTTTCAAAGAAATGCCTTTTATTCATGACTCATGGTCATCTTTTTCTTGCCCGTCACAGTAAAAAGTCAGGGACCACTGCCGTTAGCTAATAATCAAGGATGAATGAGTGCTTGCTGACTCAGTGGTTCCCAAACTCTTAGAGCGTATTTTCACTATGATGTATTAGCCCCTTCTTTGTACTGTGAAATTTGGTAAATATGAAGACTTCAAAAACAATCTTTAACAAGCTTTGACAACCCGGTTTACTAGCTAAATGAATGCTACTTATTTTGATCACAGGCCCTAATTTTGATGACTTCAGATTAACTGGGATTGTGCTTTTACAGAAAACAGTGACATTCAAGGATGTGGCTGTGGACCTCACCCAGGAGGAATGGCAGCAAATGAAGCCTGCCCAGAGGAACTTGTACCGAGATGTGATGCTAGAGACCTATAGCAACCTAGTGACAGTAGGTAAGGGGAGCTTTCTGGATGCCATACAATTCCTCATTCCCGCAGTGTGTGGACACTGGTTTGCTGGATGGGCCTCACCCTCCCTCACGATGACATGTGCTCCAGCTTTGAAGGTAGATATTAATAAAGTATGTCATTGTGCAACTTCCTCGAGTCTCCTCCTTCGTAAGTCCTCAAGACCCCAGGACTCAGTCCCAGATCTATATGATTGTCTCTAGCATTAACATGCAAGTTCTTTCCTGTGACAGGTTACCAAGCCACCAAGCCAGATGTCATCTTCAAGTTGGAACAAGAAGAGGAGCCGTGGGTGCTGGAGGAGGAAATGTTTTGGAGACATTCTCCAGGTGAGTAAGTGAGAAGTTGCTCTGAGTGAGAAAGGCAGGTGACAGTTGTTCAGTGAGGGGTCGCTTCCATTTCACATTTCCCAAGACACATTCCTATTCTAGGAATGACTGCCTTATTGGAGTTGTAGTCTTTTTGTTAAGTTTTTGGTGCAGTAACCCCATGTGATTTCAGGATGCCCAACATCTGGTGTTTACAACTTACCTTTATGATTGTTGTACCTTTATATGATCTTCACACCCTCCCTCAAGTTCATAGTTTATTTCCTTACACATTCAGATTTCGTGGAGTGTGGTATTTTAAATCAGCTTTATTTTACACTTGGGTGTCCTTTAGTTATTGGCTTCACTACACCTGGAGAAGCTTCAGGCTTATGTTTTAAAGTAAGTCACACTTTCAGTTTTATAGTAAGTCCCATGGTTTAGAAGACTAAGTTCCTGGCTTAGGAATACTGGTGTCCTCTTCATCTTCATAACTTCCCTTTAATATTTTGAAAACAGAGCATTTTCCTACTTGGTTAAAAAATTCAAACCATCCAAAAGATACATTTAAAAGGTGTCCTTTTATCCTTCTCACTTTGTACTTTCTTTCTGCAGTTGCATTCACATTTTGTTTTTTTGTTTTTGTTTTTTTTTTGTCTTTTTTTTTTCAGAGCTCTCTTGTTTATTTTGCCATATGTGTTTTACATTTAACTGTCTTATTTGAAGAAAACCATACTGAATTTTTTTCTTAGGACTGTGCTGAATATATGAATTAACTTTAGCAGTTTGTCAGGTTCTTATTTTGTTTTGTTTCTATCCAAATTTTCTTTTATAGATCTTGTATATTGTTTGTTAAGTTTATCCAAGTATTAGACAAGAAAGAAAAACAATTCCTTAAGAATTGAAAGGGGGAGGCTGGAATAATGGTTCAGTGGTTAAGAGTACCGACTGCTGTACCAGAGGATCAGGATTCAATCCTCAGCACCCATATAGCAGCTCATAACTGTTTGTACCTCTAAGGTCTGACACTCTGAGACAGACATATATGTAAGCAAAAACAGCAATGCACATAAAATAAAGATAAATTACTTTAAAAAATTGGAAAGGTATGCTGGGTGGTGGTGACACACATTTTTAATCCCAGCACTGCAGAGACTGATAGATCTAAATTTGAGGTCAGCCTGGTCTATAGAGCGAGTTCCAGGATAGCCAGGGCTACACAGAGAAATTCTGCCTCAAACAAATAAATAAAAAAATTGAGGGTGGGGGCCCTAGGCCACCAGTTAAGAGCAGTTGCTGCTCTTCCGGAGGACCTGAGTTTAGTTCCCAGCACGCGCGTGGCTGTCTGTACCTCTAGTTCCAGGGGATCTAATGCCGCCTTCTGGCCTCTATGGGGGTTGCATACACGTGGTATACTTACATATATAAAGGCAAAACACAATAAGTAAATAAATAGAATGAAATAAAAATAAAGAAAAAATTTGAAAGAATTGAAAACCACTTGAATTTACAGATATTTTATCCCTGGGAAATGCTAGAACCAACTAAGCAAGTATGCCAAGTTGTATGAAATTCCATTGAGATGCTAGGGTTGTCAGTAGCACTTAAAAACCAGTGACTTTCATGAATATTTCACAACTAAGGGGATGCAAATGAAGGGTGGTTATTATGGTAATAGCAGTAAAGATAAAACACTGTTTGGAGCATGGGCATGTAACAGTGCACAGAACAAAATCTACATACGTGAATGAAGCTTATAGTTGAGTGGATTTTTGTGTTTGTTTTGGTGGATGGGTTTTTTGGTTTCTTTGTTTGAAGGCTGGATCTCTAGAGAACCCCATGCTGTCCTTGAAATCCCTTGAAGTTCTGATCCTTCTGCCTCTCATTCAAGTGCTGTGTTCATGTGGTGCTGGAGATCAAATCCAGGGCTTTGTGCGTGCTGGGTAAACACTCTACAACTGAACTGCATCCCCAGCCCATAATTTATTTCGTACGTAAGGAAATACCTTGGGTACTAGAAAAATGACTCAGCAGTTAACAGCACTTGCTCTCTTGAAGAGGACCTGGGTTTGGTTCTAGCAGCCACGGTAGGTAACTCCAGCCCCAGGGCTGCTGAAACCCTTTTCTAGTTTCCGAGGTACCTACATGCACTCTAATGCACACTAAAAAAAACCTAAAACATAAAGAAAATACCTTTCTAAATCATTACATTTGACAAGATTGGCTGTATCTGAAATTTTTAAGCCATGCTTTCTTTTCCCAAAGGTTTATTGTGGGTAGTTTCTGTGAACTTCAGGCAACTCCGTGTTATTTTCCACTTTTAAATATTGTTGGAAAAAAAGCCTGGTTGCTTCTCCTCATAAATCACTTGATCTGTTTGTCCACATGAGTGAATCAGGGTTTGCAGGTGGGGGCTGCTTTGTTGCATTTTCTTTAAAGCTTTAGAATTGTTGCCAGCTATTATCAGTATTTCCTTTGGACTTGTGATTCTTTCCTTTCTTTGTCCAGAGTTACAAAACACATGACTATGTTCTGTGGGACTCTTCCCTATATGTCTCATTCAAAAGTAGAAATAAGTCTTGGCCTCTGAGCTTCTCTACTGTGACCAACCCATTTTCTGTTCTTATATTCTGGAGTTAAAGTTTCATTGAACATGTATTTACTGTTCTGTTCTTTGTGTTTGTAGGGTAGAGGTATTTAATACCATTGTTGTGAAACAGGGAGACCGCTGTTTTGATCCCATAAACCACCTTCTTGGAAGTAGTTTTCTTTGCTCTTCTCCAGATTCTGATTTTTCTTTAGTTCCCACTCATTGTTTATTTCTTGTTTTATAAAATTGTTTTTGCATGACTCCTTTTCTCAACTTTCCCTGTACTGTTGGGGGCCAGGCCATTTCGAAACTTTACCAATGGTCCTGTTGGAAAGACAAAGCGAGCATTAGTTTCTGTGCTTATGGGCACATTTGACAAGAGCTGGGGCTGGGGCCAGGGCTTCAAGGAAGTCAAGGTTTCCGCTCCTGGGAGCAGAGACTTCCCTGTGAAGGCCTGTGGTTAGCAATCCCAAGGCCACTTGGTGCTTGGTCTGTGGCACACTTGAGATATCCTGTGTTGCCCTGTACGACATTACCTGACTAACTTCCTGCGGACTTCTTCCCATTGTATGCTGGCTTTGTCCCATTTCCCCTGCATGCAGTGTGTAAGATGCTCTGCTGCTTAATAAAGTTGTTGGCATGAGCCACCAGCTTATGCAGTCCTCCTGACCCCAACTTTTCGTCTTTATGTTCTCATCCCTGTTCTTCCCCCCTGACACCTTGAAGTTTAGTCTTAAAGCGGGTCTGAATTTCAAGTTACTCACGTTGATAGCACTCCAGAGGTGTGGAGAACCATAGAATGAGCTGATGGCACTGCTGTTAGAAAACCATAGTCGATAGAGATGACTTGGCTCTTGATCACTTTATATTTTGTATTAGAAATACATTCATTAAGCATATATAAAAGCATATATAAAAATAAATTACAACTAGATAGTTGACACTCTCTTCATATTTTTTTTCCGAGACAGGGTTTCTCTGTGGCTTTGGAGGCTGTCCTGGAACTCACTCTGTAGACCAGGCTGGCCTCGAACTCACAGAGATCCGCCTGCCTCTGCCTCCCGAGTGCTGGGATTAAAGGTGTGCGCCACCAACGCCCGGCTCACTCTCTTCATATTTTCTAAAAGTTCTGGATTGGAATCTAGTTTGGACAGCCTAATCTTCAAATGCTTTCATAATTATTACTTTATGAAAGCTTTTGGTATACAGAATGGACAGACTTAACAGGATTCTGTGACAGTTCATGTAGGCAAAATAATAAGAACCTGTGGTTTTGTGTCTCTTGATCTAGTGGAGCTGTTGTTTTCCTTTATATACAGCTTATTTTTTCTTTCAGTATGTATGTATGTGTTTGTGCATGTGATTGTGGAGGACAGAATCCTCAGAAAGGCCATCCATTCCTTTAACAGAGGTTCTCTTTGGTCTGGAACTCACCAGTAAGGCCAAATTGGTTGGTCATTGAGCTGAGATCCTCCTATTTCCATGTGAGTGTTGGGGATCGAACTTGGATCCTCCTGCTTGCAAGGCACTTTACCAACTGAGTTATCTCCTCTGCCCAATTTCTTTGTGTTTTAATATTCAGTTTTAATTTTCTCCAAAGTAATACATGTATTTGTTTTAAGAAAGTTAATAGAAATACAAATCTTGCCATGTGGTGGTACACTCCTTTAATTCCTGCTTTGGGAGGCAGAGGCAGGCAGATCTCTGAGTTTGAGGCCAGCCTGGTCTACAGAGCACGTTCCAGGACAGCCAGGGCTACACAAAGAAACCACGTCTCAGAAAAAAAAAAATATTATAGTGGTACCCTATTCTAACCTTATCTTTCCCCTCTTTTAAGGAAATTATACAAAAAAATTAAGGTAATACAGATTTTTATGCCTTTTCTGGTATTGGACTGTACTAGTTAGATCAGAATCCAAAAGCTTTGTCCAGTGTCCCACATACCAGTATCTGTAAGTCTTTTATTTTTAAACTTTCTCGTGTCCTACCTGGAGGCACAACCTTTAGGACACTAAGCAATAAAAAGGGTTGGAAGTCTCATAATTCAGTATATATATAAATGTGCATATAATTCCTGCTTTTTTTGTTAACATGAATCCTGTATCTGCTTGCTTCTTCGTCTAGAGTCTCTTTGGTTCACTTTCTCTAGAAATCAGTCTTTCTCTTGCTTGGATTGTAGAGACCCAACCATTTTCTTGTATAGATTGTTTTAATTTTCAGGAACCTCCCTAATGGCATATAGTGTTTAAAATGGGTGCATATACTTAGCGACCCTGTCTTTTTTAAGTTTATTTTTGTAAATTTTATTTTGCATTCAAACCACAGTTCCCTCTCCCACCCCTCCCTCCATCCCTCCTCTCTTCCCACCTCTGCCCATCCCCACCCATTCCTCCCACAGGGTAAGAGCTCCCATGGGGGCATCTACAAAGCC